TGGAACTGAACTACTGAAGTGTAAGCAGATGTTCCAATCAGAGATCTGTAGGTGCATTGTTGTTGGATGAACTGTGTAATGTTTGTGAAAACACTGTCAGGGAATCCATTCCAAGTTTAAAGCTAGGTGCCTGTTCCAGCCAATGTATCGAGACTATGCTTTTCCACCATCTGTATGAAACCTCTGAGAGGTAATTAGTGTTCTCAATGTTAGTACAATTCTCTGGGCTCTGATGGGTCCTTGGAGAGGCTTGTTCCTGCTCTCCTGATGTTAAGGCTTTTGTTTTGATCTTTTTGGATTTAATGTGGTAGACTTAAGGGCTGACCAGAAAGTAAAGCAAGTTGGCGTCTGAAAGTTCTATCAGGTGACTGAAATATGTGACAACACTCTCTTCCCCAGAGCCTAAAAGAAAAGGACCTGTCACAGCAGCTGGTCTCAACTGACACTATCTCACTGGGCCGTCCTGTCAGGCCACTCTGAGGGGAAAAAGTGGTCAGTTTTCTGTTGGTAAGCTCTCACTTCCTCACTGKCCTATTTTTAAGATAAAGGACACTACTTTGTGTGCTGAATAGTGTTTAATTTTAAAAAAAGGCGAGGGCTGGACAACTCTCTCAGAACCACTTGACCTGTCCTAGGGAATTCTTTTGAGAAATACAAAAGTCTCCCCGACAGTTGTTCAAATTACTCTGATAATTACGATTTTATTTTATTTTTTAACTTTATGATGGTATGAAAGTGATAGGAACTCAGTAGAAGCCATTTTTGGAATTTTCATCGTGGATCTGTTGCTCCAGGGTGGGGACCCCAGGTAGGTAGCTCTTCTSGGAGCCTGGGCCAGGGCCTCCAGTACAGCTGCCAGTCAGCTGAGAGCAGCCCAGTCACCCAGACTTCACACTGTTGCTAAAATGGGACGTTTGATGGGTTGGGGTGATAAACGCTTCTTCCATTTACACTATTTTCAATTCATGATAATTTAATCCCACAGAACCCAATCATAAATTAGGGAGCTGTTATAGTATGAAAGTTTTTTTTCTGGTTGCTATTATTATTATTGCTTTTGGGGAGTGGGGTGGGCTATGGGATGAAGTGGAAGGAGGCAGCAAGGGTTGGGCTGTGGAAAAAATGTGAATTTTTAAACTGTTATGCAAATTATTTCATTCACAATATATTAACTGAATAATTGCATCAGGTTCAATTTTAAAGACTTTTGTAACAGAAAATCTAACCACATGGTAAATAAAAGTTTAGAAAAATGCTCAAAATGTTTACAACTCTATTTGAACCCTATAATACTTCATTGAAATTTAAAATGCTGACAACATAGTTACTTATCAAATATTATTCTCACTGTAGAAATACCATTTAATGTGCATAGGTCAGAAGAGTGAAGGATCACTAACATCTGGTTGATCTGTTGTTCTAGAAAGGCCAGAGCTTGACAAAGATCACAATGTAGTACATCCTGCTTGTTTTCCCAGACAAGGYTTGTTTATTTAGCTGATGTTGTTTGTTGAGTCCACTAAAGTACAAAATGGTCAAGGGAAATTACCCAAGAGTCATAGATGTGAAAATTAAATTACAATGCCACTCTCTGAAGTATTTAGGCCAAAACTGGGGGTATCATCTTTGCCGMTTTTCTTTCTCTGATAGCACTTCATGCTAACAAATCCTTTGGCTCYCCCATTAAAATGCAATCTAGAATATGACTGACTCCTTTACATCACTGCAACTTTTAACCATCCTAGTAAGACTACTTACCAACCCTTCCATGGATTATTGCAAAAGCCTCTTGACTTCAGGATATTAACAATAGAAGGTAACAAATGGCAGGTGAAAAATGGTGACAGTAACCCTACATTCTGGTGGGTTCTTAATTATTGTCAATAATTTTTTATTGCAAAACCAGGAACCCACTTAAAGTAATTTACAAAAAAAAAGAAAGAAAATATAATATCCAGATCACATAATATGGAACTGTAGAGTCAGGAATGGAGATGCTATTTTCCATTTCCCTGGAGTCGTTCCCTGGTGGTCACTGCTATTTGTTCTCMGTGCATATGCTCCATCCTTCCATGTTCCATCTAAGATTGGGTACTCTCAGCTTGTGTACATGAAGCAAAACACACCACCCACCCCTGACTCTACATGACTTCCTCCTAGTTGAGTTCAATTAGAAACCTTATAATTCAATTCCAAATACCCAGAAGAAGATGATCTCTGGGATTTGTTTATTTCAGATGCCTGCCTCTCATGCTATAATTTGGAACCAGAATATAGCATCACCTGATTAAAACACAGTTGCCCAGGTGCATCAGTCCAGCAGGGTCTAGGGAACAAAGCCTAGGATTTTTCAATTATACCACAATGCCTCTTGGCAAGAAGATATCATTTCTTCAAAGAGTTTTATAATCCAATGATGACAAGTTCCTCAACAGATGTATTTTAAACATAGGTGGAAAGGCAGATCATAAAATTCTGAGGAGATATGATCTCCCTGTTTTGCAGTTTTCCTATGGAGTATTTGTACATTTTTTTAAGAGAGAGAGAGAGAGAGAGAGAGAATTTTTTAATATTTATTTTTTAGTTTTCAGTGGACACAACATCTTTATTTTTTATTTTTTTTATGTAGTGTTGAGGATGGAACCCAGAGCCCCACACATGCCAGGCGAGCGCGCTACTGCTTGAGCCACATCCGCAGCCTCAGTATTTGTACTTTTAAAAAAAAGTTCTCCAGGTCATTTTGATGCTCCCTTCCCCTGTTGCTTTCCAATAGCAATTCTCTCTCCTGTTTTCCTGATCAACTCCTGCTTTTCTACCATAGGCTGTGTGTTCCCTTTGGAAACCTTCTCTGGCCAGCTAAATGGCCCTCTTCAGTTTTCCTGTCTGTAACTCCGCTGCTTAACTAATCACGTGGTTTTAAAATTACTTATTTATGTCCCCTTGAGATTGTGGTGAGCCTGTTGTTAAAAGTTAGGATTGCATTTTTTATTTGTTTGTTGTACTTTAGAACCTAGCACAATGAGTCAAACTGGACAATATATATGTTTAAGGAACAAGGAACTAAATTGGTACACCAAAAGTTCAGAGCCACTTGGAAAGTTTTTGAAAGTCTTCACATTTGATTTATTGTTCTTTTCCCCCCGGTGAATTAACTGCCTACTTCAATAAATATTAAAAACACACACACACACACACACACACACACACACACACACACACACACACACACACACATTACAGGTTCAAAGCAGAAGGCTTGAGTCTTGGGATGTGGAAGCTTCCCCTGGAACTACATTTCCCGAAGTCCGTAAGCCCCAGTGCTGGTTGGTTTGCTGACTGTTCTTGAGGCGGGCCACATCTGCCAATACTGTGACGAGATTGTCCTCAACCGGCAGGAGGCGGCCAATCACAGGGAGAGGGCGGCTGCTTCTGATTTTGGTTTGGAACCAACCCTTGCGTAGTTCTTCGGTGGCTTTTTGCGGAGCGTCGGGGAGGTGGGGAGTCTTAGCCCGGAGTTTATGTTCCGTATCTCCACCATCCGAATCAGAACTCGTCTTTAAGTAACTCCCTCCTTCCTAATTTGTTGTCCACACCCCTCCTGATCCAGCACCTCTGCGTCCCAGCCACCTTTTCCTTGTTGAACGCACTTTGGGGGAAAATCTCTCCCCATCCCCCGCAAGAATCTCTCTCCACCTGTGCAAACTCGTGCCGGGTATCTGTTTCCAAGCACCCAAGGGAGACTGGGGTCAAAAAGTCCATCTCCCTCTTGTGACCCGACCCTTCTGAAGAGCGAAGACGCAGATCGGATTGCAGGGCGGACCCAGGGTTCGGAACCTGAGGGGCGGCGTGGCGCTCACTGCTACGGGCGCTCCCGCCCCGGTCCCCACACCCCCGGGTCCCCACGACTGAATCGGGGTGGTGTGTCACAGCGTGGCTAGAGCCCTTCCTCTTCGGCAGCCGGTTCTGTCTAGCAATGACCTGCCACTGCCAGAATCATTTTATCCACTGTAACAGCTTCGGGGAAGAGCCTGGGTTTCCGAACCCAACGGGTGTCTCTCCTTTCCTAGGACATTTCTAAGTCTGTCATTCCTTTGCCCCTGACATAATCGTTGCCTAGACGCCCCCCCCCCTTTTTTTAAAGAAACTCCAATCCAAGTCAATCCAGAACAAAGTCCACAATAAGGCAACAACAATAAAGGGTGCAGCCAGCCGCCGGGAGCGGGCACCCCGGGAAAGGGGGAAAGCACAAACCCCGGTTTCAGGGCCGAATTTGAAGCCAAGGCTTCCTGCGGGTTTTTGGTCCTCAACGTTATTACTATGCCGGCTGCAGAAGAAGCAGCTGCATACTCTGGCAACACGACCGGGGAGGGAGAAATTCAACCAGCGTCTGGGATTTTCGCAGAGGATAATTTAAGCCCCAGTTTCTCGCCGCTGGGGGCCGGGGCACCAGCCGCGGGCGGGGAGCAGGCTGCGGCGCGCATGCGCACACCCCACAGCCCTGCTCCGCGGAGGCCCAGCTGCCGCCACCGTCGCGGCGGGCGCTGTAACCGCGGCTGCCGCCGCTGCTCGGGCGGGCGTTGGTGCCTTGTGCCGAAGGGTCCAGTCAGGCCAGAGGGAGCGGCCGGGCGGGAAGAGCCGGCGGCGTGGGCGGCGGCGCCAGAGGAAGGCAGCCGGGCTCCTGAGGTGCGAGGGCGGGCCGGTCCGGCGGCGGTGGAGCGCGGCAGCCACCCCGGGCGCCGTGCGTGCGATGCTGGGCGGGCTGCGGCGCTGAGCGGCGGGAGGCCGAGCGGCTTTTGCGGACCGCGGAGGAGCAGCAGGAGGACGCGCCGAGGGACCGGGGGCCGGGGCGGGCGAGGATCCGCGGGGTCGCGGGCCATGGACGTGGCGGCGGTGACGCGGGCGAACCAGGGCGGCGGCGCGGCGCAGAGCCCGCCCGCGGCCAGGTGAGGCTGGGCTGAGCGGGCTCGGGCGCCCGACCTCCGCTGCTGCCGCCGGGCCGCCGAGCGGGGCGGCAGCGGCGGCGCCACATCAGCCGCGGCGGCCTCGGAGGAAGAGGGGTCGTCACCCGGTGTTGTTGTGACCGCCGCTCGCTTGTCGCCGCAGTATTTCCTGTTCGGATTATCTTTTGCTTCCCCCAGCTGCCTCCTCCTCCTCCTCCGCTCACCCACTCCTCCGGGTCCTGGGTCGCAGCTGCCCTCGGCTTTGGCCCGTCACCCCCGCCCGGGAACCCCTGGTGCCTCCCCTCCTGGGCTTCGGGGGAGCCCAGCAGAGACCATGAGGAAATTCAAGAAGGTGCTGGACGGCCTGACCGCCGGCTCCTCCTCGGCCTCACAGCAGCAGCAACAGCAGCAGCACCCGCCAGGGAACCGGGAGCCTGAGATTCAGGAAACGCTCCAGTCCGAGCACTTTCAGCTCTGTAAGGTGAGCAGAGCGTGCAACCCTGCTATGCCATCATCGGAAAACTGGGGTCGTTTTAGGGGGCGATTCGGGATTTACACAGCAGTGCAAGAGAAACGAGCGCCAATAATAATTGTAGTTCTCATAAAGAGCTCGTTTCTCCCCTAGCAAACGTTTCCTTGGTAGGTTATTTTGAAGACTGATATCCCACTTTTCGTTGGTGTTTTTCTTTTCTAACAAGAAGCAATAATCATTTCAAGGCTCTTCAAACCTATGATCTTCCCTTTGATCCATATCCTGACACTGCTAGCAATAATCTGGAAGCTTTTATATTATAACATTTTAATGAAATTCATCAATTTCGGGATTTCCTTTAAAAACAGTGTCTATCTAGTGAATATTGTTTTTCAGAAAGCCAAACCTGTTCAACCAGGTCTTTGCTCATCACTTTTTTTCTTACAACGTGTCTGAGTGGCCTACTGTATGAAATCGCATGGTTCTTTATCATTATGTTAGGTTTAAAAGTTAGTACTGAGATTTTTGCCTGCTAATGGCAAGATAATTGCTATAGCGTTTTGTAATTCAGAAAGAATGATGCAGCGAATTAATTCACCAGCTGTTCAATGAGAAATACAAACGTGGTGTTTTGTTATTAATGTCAGCCTTCCTCATAAATATCCATGTGTYCATAGGTCAGAGTTTCTTAAAAGTCTGTATATACATAACTTTTTGCCTTAATACTCTAAAATCATTATGGACTTGATAGTAAATTGCAAAAACATTTGTTGTATTCATATCCATTCTGTTACAATTGCAAAATGTTTGGTACAGGCTTGATAATTGCTTTACCCAATACCTTGACCAAAATAATGAATTATATTTCAACTTTTCCTTGAAGTACTTGCATTTAGCATTCAAGTAATGTTAAATGATGAGACAATTATTCTTGAAACAAAGCATGAGTCACATTTTAAAATCAATTAACAGAATTTTTGACTACTGAAAACGTTAGTAACTTGGTTTCAGACATAGCAGTATAGAACATTAATAGGAAATTTTSTTCTGTAGAATGCCAGTAGTATGGAAAAGCAAAGACTGAAGTATTACTCTGCAATAGATTTTTGTTTATTTCAGGTTCTGTGTTAATAACTGATGTAGAGTTCACTTTTTTTTTTTTTAAAGTAGCACCTATGTGTGTATGTTTTGCATCAGGTATACTTCTAAATTCTAATGCCTGTATTGACATTTCTATTTTTAAATATCCTTTGCTACCTTGGTTGCTGTGATGACACTTGCCCAACCCTAGACTGTTCGCCATGGATTTCCCTATCAACCTTCAGCCCTGGCCTTTGATCCTGTACAGAAGATCCTGGCAGTGGGAACTCAGACTGGTGCTTTAAGGCTGTATCCTTTGTCTATTTTTTTTTTTTTTAATGGTTGCTTTGTATTCAGCAGTCCTTTTGTGTTGCTAATTAGTTCCAAAACTTTAAAAATATTCCTGGGTAATTCCAAAGACATGGTGTAATTGGGCATATATTTTGAGGAATTATGTGGTGTGGGCTTTTCCCTTAGGGGAAAATATATAAATATATTTATGTGTGTATATACATATGTATATGTATACATATGTGTATATACTCATTCAGATTGTATGTTGATGAGGCAGTTCTCAGCTGTAAAACATGTATTGGAATAGAGGTCTAAAGATTTTTTGTAATAACTATTTTCTTTGCAAGGAGCTAGAAATTTCTAAGGGGAAATATATTTGTTAATGCTAGTAGTCTACTGAGTGGAGTTTATTAAGGATGAGATTTAAAGACAATAGTATGGTGCTCATTTTATTTGATATTAAAAAATATACATGGAAAGTTTGAAATTTTTGTTACTATTTATATGTATATTACGTAAATTTATTGTTCTATTGGATTAGAGGTTGGATTTGAATTTGTTTCCCATATGTTCATCTAGAAAATCATTAACAGAAAACAAATGTAGCAAATTAGTTTTCTATAAAAAATTATGAAGGGTTAATATTTCTAGAAGTTTTACAGCATTTTCTTGTAAAATACATAGGAATTGTACTCTCTTGATGATGTTTTCCCTTTTATAGTCTTCATTTGTTTTAAAAGCTGTTGGGATAAGAGTACATTAACATGTTGAATAAAATAATTATTTTTCCTGGATATGATATAGTAATTTTGTGATAAGCAGTTTTTCAAATACTTCAAAAGATTTTTTCAAGATCACTTTTTTAGTCTGAACAATAGAAACTTTCTTACTTCCTCTTTTATACTGTTTAACTTGAAATATAATTTGTGTTTGCTTTTAATATGGCATTTAACCATACTCAACCTAAATATTCTTAAACTAAAACATAACATTTTAAAAAGAAGAAGCTTTGTTTATTCATAGGATATCTGCTTCCTACATATTACTGAGGTAGTATGTTGGAATAGAAAAAAAAAATAAAAAAAAAAGAAAGAAATGGGGCTATGGGAAGAATTTTACCTAATTACATTTCAGCTTTTTCAGAATTTGAGTTAAACAAATAGACTTATAATCTTTTAAAATATTTGAAAGAGGTACTGCATAGTGTCAGGATATGCCTCAAGTTTCATTTCTGATTTAGTATAGGATTTTCATAATGCTAATAAAAAATTTCAGATGGGYTTTTGAACTGTGCTACTAAGTGAAGTCCACAACACATAGTAAATACTAGTAGCACAATCATATATATATTTTAAATGGTAAAATCTGACCAGGCCCCATCTGAAATCCATGAATATCTAGGACAGTATTGTCTAAACTACTCTTGCCCAGATGTCTAAATAGTTGAGGCTAGAGTATTATTTGACTTAAATTGTTTAGATATTTTTATTTCTGAATCCAATTATTAAGATTTTCTAATTTAGGATTTCTGTTTTAGTCTTGTGGAGATGGGAATAGTTAATTTTGTCAGCTTTCAATGAAACTCTGTAGTGTCAAGTCTAGGTAATTGTTCCAGAAGGACTTTTTGGAACTGAAAGCAGATTTTCCCTCTCCAACAAAAGAATTTCATTACTCAACTAGAATTAAAGTTAAATTAAATCTTTTATTTTTGGATTATTTTGTTTTTATTTTAAATGAATTCAGTTTTCTGTTTTCTGAGTGTGGTCTCAACAATTGCATAGCATATAATTTTTGTCCTTGTAATAGCCAGTCTGGCCCTTTATAATTTAATTATAAGTTCAACCAACAAGGCTATTTTTACAAAACCAAGTATTTGTATTAGCCAATATGTTTAACCCTAATACATTTGAATAATTAAAAAGTGGACACAAAGGTCTAGTTAAAATGTTGGGCCTAGTGCTGATTGCCAGTTAAAAAACAAGAATCAGGTGTCTAAAATTATCACTTGTATATGTCCTTTGGTGTCCATAATTTTTAAATATTATATGAGTAAAAGTGAGCCTGCAATTATAGTTTATAATTATACTCTAATTTGTTTCTTAGAACCCTTACTATATTTAGAATGAAGTCTAGAAAACTCTTTACCAAACCTGTCTCTGCTTTTCTTTTCTTTTCCTTTCTGTCTTTTCTTTACTTTTTTTTTTTTAATGAGATTTGTGTAAACATCCCAGAGTGATAAATTGGCTTGTCTACCAGCAATACCACATACTCATTCCTTCTGTTCAGTTTAAGTAACTAATGAGCTTATATAGAAAATGATTTTTTCTTTTTTGTCTCATTTTCTACATATGTGTTTTAAGATATGTTATTTTGTTTTGTTTTTATTTTTGAAACTAGATACCTAAATTTATAGATTCTAATTTTGAAGCTCCATATAGGTTTAGCATGCATATTTAAGTTCATTTATTGATATTGCCTTTGTATTTTTCCTATTGCAAATGATTTCTTTTGATATCTGTCTCCATTTTATTCTCATATTAGACTTTTGTAACAAGTCGAAAATGTACTTGCCCTAAAAAGTGTCTTAAGAGGAGAAATTCATTTATAAATAAAGTATTTTCCTAAACTTCACAGTAAAAAAGCATGAGAGTTTTTTGAAGTAGAACTGGTCGATTAGAAGTCTAATTTGACTGATAGTATTATTTTCCTAAATGTTGGAGGACTATACTAAGCTGATCTGCCTACTTTGATTTCAAAGCAAAATAATAATGATAAAAAACCCAAATAAGTAGATGAAAAAGTTACCTCTAATTTTATATCTAGGATTAGTGAAAATTTGAGTCCTTGGAGAGTATCTTACCAGTGATGATGCAAAATGATTGGTGTATTTACTGAGTTAATGTATTACAGATGACTGATATTATAAAAATGTTTAATGCTCAACCTTCTTGGCTTCTGGAAAGATTATGAGATTACAGTGTATTTCTTGATGAGATGGAGGAAAGCATAATTTTATAAATTTTGTATATAAAGTAATATGATAATGATGTGATTTAATTCTCTTAATTCTTTTTGCTATGAAAAATACAGACAATTTTATTTTTTTGAGTAATCTAGGAATCAGAACTTGGGATAAAATAACTATTTTGCATATGGAAAAGTAAAAGGAAAAATGGGTCATAATTGAAAAATGAAGGTATTTTTAATGATATTGCCATTGTCTTCATCCAGTCTTTTGGTTTACTAGTATATTTTCATACCCTAATGTAATCATGGGCTACCCTGATTTTATTTTTAGGATAAATTTCATCTAAAAACAATGAGGGCATTCTATATGTTAAAATTTTAGGGATCAAGCTGGGTGTGGTGGTGCATGCCTGTAATCCCTGGGAAGGCTGAGGCAGGAAGATCGCAAGTTCAAACCCAGACTCAGTACAAAGCAAGGCACTAAGCAGCTCAATAAGACCCTGTCTCTAAATAGAATACAAAAAGTAGTGCTGGGAATGTATTTAGTGGCTGAGTGCTCCTGAGTTCAATCCCTGGTACTGTTAAAAAAAAAAAAAAAGAAAGAAAGAAATTTAGAGACCAAGCAGAAAAATGGAATTTTAGATTGATTAAGTTTGTGTAAAATTTAAGATTTAAAAAAATTATCAAAACTATTATCAAAGAATCTCCTTTATCTTTTTGATATGTGGAAAATATAGTGTAATAGGCAGTCTTTACTTTGAGGAGGCTTGATTCTCTTTTCAATTGCAGTGAAATGTTGCTAGATACATGTTTGCAAAGTGATTTTTTTTAATCTTAGAGTTCTGTTTAACAAGCATTTATTTATTAATTGTCAAACAACATTAGTTTACAAATTGTGGCCTGAATTCTGGTTCTTTTCACTAGGAAATCTTGTGTCCTTGAATTAATTTTTTTTACTATAAAAATGAACTTGCTATATTTGATTTATTAAAAAAATTCTGATTTCAACTAACTATATATTGTTCTGGGGGAGTAATGCAAAAGAAATGAAGGTGTGAGCCTTACCCTCAAGAGGTTCCCCGTCTTAACCAGGGGAGAATTATCTAGGGGCTTACTGACATTATACAAATGTAGATTACTAGAATTTGTTGCATTTGATTAATATTTTTGCATGTTATTAAGGATTCAGAATGGCAGGGATAAGCAGTAGGAGAATTATTTTAGGCAGGCAAACCGTTGGAAAAGAGAATCATCATGGTAGTTTGAAGGATTAAAAAAAAACTGTTTGAAATAATGATCCTAATTAGGTTGGGGGAGAAATAAGCCAGTTTGTCAAGGACCTTGAATGTTAACTTAAGGTATCTGCATGCTATTCAGTTAGGAATTGTAGTTATGTAAGGTGATTTAACAGGAAGAAAGATTTTTTTTCATAATTAATGGGGCAGTTGTGTCATAGATGAAAAGAATAGAACAAGTAAAATCTTATAGGTAACTATTAATTTTATATGTAATAAAAAGGACCCAGAACAAATGTGGAAAAATGGGAATTGGAGGACTTAATGACTCGTTTGTGTAAAATCTTAGGGAGTGACTAAGGATAAGATTTTGCACATAAAGCATCAAAGCTATTATAAAACACAAATGGAAAACTTGGCAAAGAGGTGGCAGAGAAATGTTGTTTGAGATTATGTCATCTTTTGCTTTTGTTGCAATGCCATTTTGAAAAGGCAGCCTAGACTTCTTATTTTAGACAAGAATTTGATAATACTTTCATGATTGATTTCATTTTGGGCTTGTCCTTGGCAATTTCCTGAATTTCATTATTAAATTTATATTAAAGTTACTATTAGCTTTTTGGCTTTGGCAATTAATTCTCTGTCAGTGTTTCTCAGTAGTAGTAGCATTTTGGGCAGTTTAATTCTGTGGAGTTTGTCCAGTATGTTACAGGATATTTAGTATTCCTGGCTCCTACCATGTCAGCGTTGCCTTCCATGCAATGTTGCAACCCCAAGGCTCCCACATACTTACAGGTGGGATTGGATGAGTCA